AACTTTATTGATAGGTACATCGATCTAAATGACAGTGAGTGGAAAAGATGCGTGGAACTATGTAGCGAGGGTTCTTGTGTGCAACGGCAGGCATTTTTACCGAGCGTTTTACGAAAAATAAAGACCATCACACCAGAATGTGAATGGTTAAACCATTGCGTGTCATATGATCTTATCAAATGAGTCCAGGTGAGCTTCAGAATTGAAGCGGCATTTAGAATTAAAACTTCCGAAATAAAATAATAAGCTAAGAGATTGTATAAGAATATAGACTTAAAAGCTAGCAAACAGACTATATCTTCGAATTTTTCTCGCGGGTCTTCGTCTGACGCTCTAGTTATGGCTTCTTAGGACAGAATCCCAACAAACTGCTAAAACTGAATATCCTCATATATTTTCAGAAAAGTTAATAGTTCCTGCAATAAAAATGCTAGCAGTTTGTATGTGTGACAAAAAACAGCAAAACCACAACATAGTGCAGCATAGAATCGTGGAAATGGCAGATAATATCGAAGAAATTGTTGTAGTTTGCTTAAAACACTATTTTTTTCTTTTCGAGTCAGTAAAAGTATAGGCATATCGAACAAAATCAGTTTAATAACAGCAGGTGAAAATTTTAACTTTATTGATAGGTACATCGGTCTAAATGACAGTGAGTGGAAAAGATGCGTGGAACTATGTAGCGAGGGTTCTTGCGCAACGGCAGGCATTTTTTACCGAGCGTTTTACGAAAAATAAAGACCATCACACCAGAATGTGAATGGTTAGATTGCAGCTTATACGGAGAAGCACTAGTCATAAAAAGTTCAATTGTTCTGCAAACAGCTATGCAAGACTGTATAAAACTATTTATGAAGCATCGTCTCTTGAGTTCCAGGTTATTCATTGCATTATGTAAAGAAACTGGCAGTGAACACGAACATTTTTCACATTGCAAATTAGCATTGTTATCCGGAGGAAAGGTTTTTAAAGGACTTTTGAGAATGAGACAATAAATTTTAATGTTTTTAAATGGACATTCCTTAACTGTTAGAGATACAATATTTCAATTTAAAGATAGTTTTCTTGATGTTAATTAGATGATGAAATTATCCTAACTTTCTAACATTTTTTTTTTATTTTTTTGAATAGATTAAATATTTCGTTTCAAGTATGTAACTGTAGTAAAAAGTGCAAGAAAAGGTGCAAGTTGCAGTAATGAAAGCTCAGTTTGTGGACCTTTTGTGTGGAAGCACGAAATTATGACTCTTTTATAAAAGTAACTGTAGGACAGAAAGAAAACAATATTAATTCTGTGCCTGATGAAATTTCAGTTGTTATCAAGGAACATGCGACAGGATTGCAGGCAAATCTGAAAGAATATTTTCCTCCAGTTCATAACATCAAAGCAGGGATAAAAAAAAACTTTTCACAATTAATATAGATAGAGAGACGGAACTATTGGATTTAGATACTGAACCCATAATTGAACTGTCTTGTGATACAGCGCTTAAAGACAGCTTCGATAGATTTTTTGCTATTCTGCCCTCAAGAGTACCTATTTTTGGCACAAAAGGCAGTTAAGTTTCTAATATCTTTTGTTAGAGCTTGCAAATTTGAAGCAGCCTTCTCGACATTTGTTTTTCTAAAACATAAATACAAAAAACAATATGATATTGAATCAGATTTAAGAAAAAAGATGTCATCCTTTTTGGTAGACCTAAAAAATTTTAGTTAACGAGAAATAGCATCAAACTTTTTTATTATTTATATTTTTTATATATTTTTGTTATTTTCACAATGAAAGAAATATATCTGAGCATTAGAATTTGTTTAATTTACCAATAAGCCATAAACATTCTTACCGAGACATGAAAGAAAATTATTTAAACAACTTGGTCAGGAAAAAGAGTTTGGAAAACACCGATGTAGAAGAAAAATTTCTCTTATGAAAATATGATAGAGCAAAGTATTGTGGCCAGATATATGCTGGAAGAAAGGTTGGTTTTGGTACATTTTTTTATTTCTTTTGGAAGGAAATTGTGAATTTTCCTTCTTCTAGTTCATTCTGTCTTTCATTTTGCCAGCTTTCTGTTGTAGTTGGATTTACAAATATGATCCGGGCTACGGGATTACTGTAAATTCTCCTCCTTGATTAACTGCTGTTGTTCCTTACAGTTCGCCCGCTTTTTCGTTCCTTTAAGTCCGTTATGGTCTTCGATTTATGAGATATGAGTTTCCATATTTTGCAATACGTTTGAAAAATGTATTGATATCGTATACAATGCTCGATGCACTCATCAAACGTTTAAAACCCTCTCGCTGCCCATTCCGCGATTTCCACGGGCAACATAGAAGTAGCTAAATTTGCGCAACCCGCGATTTCCCCGGGGATGAATTTTTGACGTCTATTTAACTGTGCTCTTTCCCCGTTCAAGGTTTCCTTTCGGCATTTCTGTGATGTTTAATTGTTTATTGTGGGCTAACAGATGGCATTAGTTGTCCACATTTCTGCCAAATATACAAGAATACGTAATGTAGCATTTTGTGCGCGCTTTTCAGAACTCAAAGATGTCTGGCAGGAAACGTTTCGCGAGTGATATAACCTATATTCCTGACGATATTTGCCACACTGATAGTAGTTCTGACTCTGATTTCAAGTATATTGAAAATAGTTATAGCGAAACTGATGAGAATTTCTCGGATTCCTCTGCAGATAGGGATGAATCTGAAAATCAGTTTCTATTAAAAACGTTCAAGATTGATGCAAAATTGATATGCAAAATATTACATTATGCAAATATTTTCGTTAGTATATATGTTTTACCTTTGTATTTTATAAAATAAATCGTAATTTAACCAATATTAATTTTCAAAATTTTCCTTTTATATCATTATTCTTAAATTTCAGTATTTTGGCAACCTTTTTTTATGATCTAATTCTATATTGAAAACAAACTCTTTTACAAAAAAAAATTTTGTATATTTTAACTCTAAAATATATGTAGATTTGAAATATACAATAAAAAATATACGCAATTTTTGAACTTATTTTAATAAAAACAAGTACGCAGTGAAAGAAAGGGTTAATTACCAACAGAACAGCTTGGCTATCTGTTTCAATGTGGAATTTTCATAGGTAATACTCTCCTAGTACATGCAGTGACCCTAGAAGGCTATCAGTTCTGCTGCAACACCCTGTTTTAGGGATTGTTCCATTCAGGTGATTAAATAATACTATGGTAATTTAAGGTATACAGCACAACTAACTTGTTGTCTACTTTAAATCCGTCTGGCAAATTCAGACGGGTATTCTGTTTCTTCTTGTCTTTGAAATCTATGTAAATTAATTTATTGTCGGGAGATGCTCGATGTTTATTTATGCCCGTAATTTCTTTTCGTATTGACTTGATTTTAATTGTCTTCGATATTGAGTGAAATTTTTTTGAGAATTTTCTTGCTTCGTTTATGAATCACTACTGCTTGAGACTTTTAGTGAGAAGCCTTCTCGTTTTACGCCTTACAAAGAACACTGAATTTGTGAAGCGTTTTGTTGCTATTATCTTTGATGGCTTTAACTGTGTTGCCATAGGTCAAGAGTGCTACGTCACCCGCGAAAGCAAATATTTTAGAATGTGCTGGCCACTGATGATCCACTGTGCTATTACAAATGTGAGGTAGCCCCACACTCGTGCAGGATACCTGAGGGCATCCTCTTATTTGTTTTGTAGTAATTATGCTATTCTATAAAACTATGCTTTTGATTCACTATAAATAATATCTGAACAGAAGGAAAATGTTTTGGGGCCAATTGATTGTTCTAAGCGCATGCAAGGCCCCAGAGCGAATCAAAATGCACAGTCAAAATTCAGGCACGCAGAATAACTGAATGCATCTAGCTTGCTTTGTTGAATCTTATTTGTTTGACGAGAGCATCTACTCTATGAATTGTAAAGTATTGGTTCTTGAAACCATACTGGTGAGAGCGCTTATGAATCCATTTGTATGGATGTGATAGCCGAGTCTTCCTATTATTCTTCTTTCCAATATTTTCCCAAGAGCTGAAGAAAGATTCATGGGCCTATAGGATTTGACAGCGTCTAAAGTTTAATTCTTTCTGACAAATTCCGCAGTACGACATACATTTAAGCGATTTGGAAATGTGTGTAGCTTAAGGCATCTCTTACAAAAGTCCGTCATTAAATTCTTATTGGCTGCGTGAATGAGATTTATAATTTGGTTATGTAACTCCGTCCTTCCCAGGTGCATGTTTCCTGGCTAGGCATTTGATTATGTGTGAGATCATTTTTATTGTGAATGAAAATTCGTTTATTGCTTCTAAAATGATTCTGAAATCATGTATTGCTTTCTGAATTGCAGTGTCTTCATTATGAAACTTCGTTTATTGCTTCTAGAATGATTCTGAAACCAGGTATTGCTTTCTGAATTGCAGTGTCTTCATTAGGTTCATCCTCTTTGAACACTGTGTATCGTATGGAATAGAATAGCTGCGTTATTATTTAAATTTATTGTTGGATTGTTTGATTTGACTTTTTTTATTATGGTAAAACACATTAGGGGCTATCTAGCTAAGATGATAGATGCCTTCATGGAAGACTTTCTAACGGAAACTAGCTCGTATACACTTTATTCATAGGGAAAACGACGAAAACGCCCAAGCAGCTAGCCCGTTCGCCTGGGTTCGAACCCAGTTTGGAACTACCACTGTTCACCGATTTTACCTCTCGGCCACTGGTGCACGTTGAATTGTTTGGAAGCTGTGAAATTTTTTAAAAAAATTTGTTAGCTACTATTTTATATATTATTGGCTTGCTAACCATTATAATGACATATTTAATGTATAACAATATTTTATACATATGTCTTTGTTGTTGGTACATAATTTTTAGTAATTCTTAAACCTTGCTTCTATTATCATCTTTTCATAGTAGGCCCTTTGTTTTTTATAGTTTATTTGTTGTAGTTGGTTGTAGCATTTTATCGTAATGATGGGTTAAAAAACAAAATATGTGTTGTTAAACGTATAGCTGACTGAAGTAGTCCCCCCATTTTCCCGCTATTTTGGAGAAATATTCATTATAATAAATAGTTTTTATACCAAAGAAATAATCAAAAGTCATTCATTAAAGTATTTACTTATTATACCTTTAGTAAAAACTAGTTTTTTTTCCTCATTTTTAGGTTTCTTGGATACGACGAAGGGATTTTCATGTGCTGACGGTTGGTTTGGATACGTATACTACGGATGACCGTTTCGAAGCAATTCATATGGAAACGAAAAATGATTGGACATTGAAAGTAAAATTTGCCCAATTGAAAGATGCGGGGTTGTATGAGTGCCAAGTTAGCTCTGACCCTAAGATTAGCTTATTTGTAAATCTCAGTGTTGTAGGTAAGCAAGCATCCGATTTTTTCTGTACTACTAATTAAGCAATTGATTAAATTAATGTTTCTTGAATGTGACTTGTAAACATTTGGTTCCAGCTTGAACTCGAATTCAGAACAAGAGAGTAAAGTTAGAGTAAACTTTCCAATCTGAATTTTAGTACATGTTGGATTTTTATGAGAAGTCAGGTTGTGTAAATCAATTCAGATTGTGGAGTAAAAATTATGAATCAACATGGAAATTGTTTGCCTTAATTATATAACTTATATTTTGAATTATTTGTCTTTATTCAAACATATTGAAAAGCTTAATTTCTAACATGGAAATTGTTTGCCTTTAATTATACAACTTATATTTTTAATTATTTGTCTTTATTCAAACATATAGAAAAGCTGCACACATTCCATGTACGTTTATTTCACATTTATTTTCTAAACAAAAATCGTAATTGCAAATTTTGTATTTTATAAATTACATTATAGACATTAGGTAATTTTGATAGTAATAATTTTGATAATAATAGCTTGTAGAGACATTAGGTAATTTTGAAGCCTGAGAGATGAAAAATGAGAAATGCCGTCACCGGAACTTGAACCACGGACCTCTCGAATACGCGTCGAGCGGGCTGACCACTGAACCACGAAGGCATGCTAAGAAGGCGGGAGAAATACCTTATATATTCCCCCTTTTAAAAGGCTGGACCCAATCGCCAAATCCTGGCGGTGGAGAATCATCATTCACCACTCTTTTAGTTCCGGCGCCACTGTAGAGACATTATGTATTTTTGAATCCGGAGAGATGAAAAATGAGCAATACCCTCGCCGGGAATTAATCCACGGACCTCTCAAATACGCGTCAAGCGTGCTGACCACTACACCCGGAAGGCATGCTAAGAAGGCGGAAGAAATACCTTATAAGCTAATAAAAGTACCAATTTTCATTCTTAGGCACACTCTTTTAAAATGCTATGAATATCATGTTCTCTGACAGCTATTAAACAGTATAAGGCTACAAAGTCCATGAAGCTCAATCTAGAGCGTTATTTGAATAGAACCTCTCTATGTAATAATAAGATTTGCTGCGCAGATCTGATTTTACAGTCTGAAAAAAATTACAGTGATACACTTTAAGTTTTAGCTATATCATGTTGTTGACAACAATTGTCAATATATCAGAAAATGTCTCGATAAAGAAAAGAGAGGTTTGGTAAATTTATAAGGTAATTTTCCCGCTTTCCTAGCGTGCCTTCATGGTGTAGTGTTTCTGCATGCTAGGCCGGTATTCCAGAAGTCAGTGATTCGATTCCCGGCGAAGGCGGTTGCTAATTTTTCATGACTCCTGCTTCCGAAATAAACCTAATGTCTGTACAATTTCAGCAACTGCATTTTATTACTGGAGGAGAACTGCAAACGGAAAGTCATAGAAATTTACTAAAAAGACATGTATCATTCCTTATATTTAGTCTCTGATTCTTTTACTCTTTGGTAACACATATATAGAAGTGCTAGCCGAAGTGGCAGATATTTGAAATTATATCCGGATATTAAAAACAGGGATATGACTAATTTAATTTTCATAAAACTTATGTCTAGACATGAATTTCTACTAATTAAGCTTGCTGTAATTCGCAATTTTGTACTCACAAGTAATAAAATAATTATGCGAGAATATTGCATTGTGTACTGCACTTTCTGTACGACGAGTTAAAATCATTATTCAGTAAAAATTAAACTAACAAATATAATAACAATAAACCTCTAATGAATGGCTGGGAAAATCAAATTACCATCAGGAAACTTCACAGTATGGTCGTGAAACACGAGAAAAGGAGTAATGTAAAATTGCTCATATTTATTCGCTATACATGTGTGAGTATGAGCTAGTTGTTCGTACTAGATAGATAGCTCTCGTGTGCTTTGCCCTGATCAATTAAATAATGGCTGTAAACATAGTGCCATTATCTGGCTTGACATTGTATAAAAAAGAAAAACGCAGATTTCTAAACTCTAATATTAAATCACAGTGTTTTTCGAAATGGACTGAGATAATAAAATGACGTGTTAATGATGTCGTATAATTAATCAAAAAATAGAAAGTGCTCTCATAAGTAGTATGAAATGGGTATTCTGCAAAGTTATCTTATTCCTCTGTCGCTTTCGTTATCTCAGTCACATGTCTTCTCTTCTTCTTTTTCCCTCCTTTCTCTCAGTCAATGTTTCTCAGTCAGTTTTTCCCTCCTTTTCCTCTTCTCTCAGTCAGTGTCAACTACGTCAAAGTTTGTAAAGTAAAAGCCTGCTCTCCATATCTCTGAAATCAAGTTATCTACATAAACAATGGCTCAAAGTATAAGGAAAACAAAATAGATTGAAAAGCTTAAAATAAGCATATCTTCCAAGTAAAACTAGTTTCAGATATAAGCCTGATACTCTAAATAAAATATTGCTCTTGCATATGTAGTTTCCGTTAAGTATCTCAGAACACTTACCACCTTAGAAATCTTTCACTTGAATTTTTTTCTCTGTTTTTCGTACGTTTGTTAAAGGGTTAAAACGTGTACCCCCTTTTAAAAAGCTAAGAATAAATTGTTATAAGTAGGTTAAGAACAAAGACCGGCTTTATCTGACCTACTCGTAGATGACATGATAAGGAATTTTTGACAATAAAATAACTATTTGGTATTTTATTTGATTAAACTTGTTGAATTTATATATATTCCGTGTGAACCGTATATTCTGGCGTATAACGTGTATCTATAATATCAAACTGCATTTTTTTAATCTTTAGATATATTCTCTGTGTAACGTTCACCCTTTTCTTTAAAAAACTTGAAATATACATGTGCGATGCTCTTATTTATTGAAGTCATTCATTTCAAGATTTTTCTCAGACCTTTGAACAATAGCATACGGAATTGACAAGCGATAAGGGGCAATTAATTATGTTTTGAAAATGAGTTATGTTTTTGAAAATTTTGAAATTTGTTGTTATTATTCAAATTAAGTGTTGTGTGTGACAAATTTTTTAAAACTGTTATATTGTATGCAAAGCTTTCCAAAGCCTTCTCTGAAAAAATTCTAGTTATGAGAGCTATAAAACGCAAAGAATTTTGGACTGGCAATTTAACAGGACTTTAAAATATTATACAAGTTTACATTTTAAAATTATGTAAAAAAATTATTTTGGTCAAAATTTCAGGATTTGTAATTTCAAATTATTTCTCTTCATACCCTAGTGCCTTAGAGCTTTACCCAGCCATTTTTCTTCTTGAAAGCGGGGTATGTAAAATGCAAAATATATATCTGTCAAATAATTAATTACTAATAGCTCTTTAGCTCCTGTCTTCATTCTAAAAATAACACAGCAGTAACTAAATGGAAAAGATATGTCATCTAATCTGTACTGCGCACTTATCGAAGAAATCTGAACGCAACAGCTGGATATTAATCTGCATGTGATCGGAAATGGAATTCGTTATGAAAGGTTAATTGCATAGCCTCTTCTCACTTCCCTTCTGCTTCTAGAAGCTGGTGTCACCTTGCCGCTAACCACGCAAAGTTTAATTTTCTAATTTCTTCCATTTTTTAAGATGTAATCTGTATAAAAATGGGAATGCATAGCGCACCCACAGTGATAATGTGCATTATCAAGGAATAAAATTATGTGTGGAATTTATCCTTATGTGTGTTCTTCGAGTGTCATCTTTCTAACTACGCAGTTATAATGCAGAGAAACATCGCCAAACTGCTGCAACTTACTTTCACCAAGTCATTTATTACAATAATGCCGCAGAATTATTAAAATAATGGAGCAGTCATATTACATGTATATGTTTGTATGTTTGTGTTTGTGTGTGTAACACAAAACAAATTCTAGTAATCTTTATTGTGTATTAGTACCAAACTTTATTCTGTATTAGTACTGTATGTTAATCCATCATATATAATCAAATACATTAACCATATGTTAATATATCGTATATTATCAAATATACTAACCATAAATATATAACCAAATTTTTTTAATCATATATTATCAGAATGACCTTGGGATTCCGTTGTGCAAGAAATCTGTTGCCCTGAAAACACATGCCCTTGGAAACACTGACCAGCGTTATTCAAGCAACCTTCTTGTTGTACTATGTGTCTGGTCTCTAATCACTCTGACACTCTCAGCATTTTAACCTATCTCAGCATTTTAACCTGATCACCACTCTGACACTCTCAGCATTTTAACCTATGATATCATAGGTTAGGTTATGTAAGGTTAGGTATATTGCAATCTTCTTACACCTAGTGCTGTGAATGTCATAGCCCAAAAGAGCATTAATCCAGATAGGCTATTAGTCTCGAAACGGAATTTTCCATTGACTCACTATAAATGGCTGTATTACTTTTCAGATTGTGACAGCTAAATAATATCCTGTATTATTTTTTTAAAAATTAAATAATAAAGAATCTGCATGTATTTAGGTTCTTCACTCTGTGATAAAACAATGGTACCAGCATTTTTTAATGCCGTTGTCCTTCACCTGAGCATGTGCACTTGGAAGCCCAAATTTTAAATCTTTAATTTTATATTTCATATTTTGTAAATCCTTAATGAATTTTTGATTAACAAACTCAATAATTTGATAGCTAGCAGTTCAACAGTGTACGGAATAAAACATTATTATCTTTAGTGCGCAAAACTCTCTATCGGAAATTCTAAAGGTATGCTATATATATATTTTGTGATTTTGTTGTTCAATTGAATTTTATGTAGCATAAGTGGAATGAAGACAAAAAGGTTAATCATAAAAAGACAAAAAAAAAAGTTTTGCGAGCCATCTTACTAAGATAGCGGAACACTGATATGATAAACTGAGAAAAGTCTGAAAACAAACAGAAAAATGCATCCCAACATTTTACACTGCATGGGAAATTCTAAACATGCCGCTTTTAAAATATTTTATAATCTTGCTCTTGTTTCTATGCTGGTTTTAAAATTTTTCTAATTTTGCTTTTGAACTGTAAGCGCCGTAAGTACGAAGAAAATGATGCTTGATAACAAAGCTAAAAAGATAAAAAGAAATGGGTTAGCAGGACCAGTGTAACAGCAGATTGGTAGAGCGAGAGCTTCAAAAGCCTTAACAAATTATTTTGGGCTATTGTTAAAAATCTGAAAAATATTAGAATTTTTTAAAGGTTTTTAAATTTAGTTTATTTTTTTTTTTTTTTTTTTTTTTTTTTTTTTTTTTTTTGTTAGATGGATTATTGAGTCAGCTCGCAATCTGAAATTGAGATGACTGGTCTAGAGGAAGTAGAGTGATCTAGAGAAGATTTTAAATTTCTCACTGACCTGAAGTCACTTATTTATTTCTTAAGTAACCTTTCGAAGGGAAAAAGACCTAGTAGATTTTAATATGTTATTTTGTTCTTTTGCAGTTGCCAAGGCGGCCATCTTGGGCCCGCACCCACTTTTTGTGAAAACTGGGAGCTCTATCAATCTCACTTGCGTCATAACTCAGAGTCCTGAACCTCCAGTTTTCATCTTCTGGTATCACGACGATAGAATGATCAACTATGATTCTTCGCGTGGGGAGATCACCATTCAAAAGAGTCCAGGAGATTCAGCCATCAGTCGGCTCTACATCAAGGATGCTACTGCTGACGATTCGGGGAACTACACATGTTGCCCTTCCAATACTGAAGCCACCAGCATCTCCGTATACGTCTTAAACGGTACTTATGGTACTTGTCAGCTTTACTGTTTTCCTTTCTCTCCCTGTTACGTGTTGTTATTTTGTGATTAACTTTCATACTTCTAACACTAATCCCTATTAACTTATCATTCTTGTAATCTGACATCACCTGAAAGCATATGAAATTTGCACAAAGTTCTTAACAAGCAAAAAGATAGTTGCGTATTTAACTCGTTTTCTTTAAATTATTCTGTGATGACTCGATGGAAGGAAAGTTTGCCATGATATTACCAAAGTTTGCGAAATCACGTATTGAGCCTCGAAATGAATTGAATGCAAACTGAAACGTACGCTTAGTACAGTTCTGACCCAACAGCGGATGAGTATGTAATACCGCGGGACAACAGCAGGTTTTTCCCTGGTTTCACATCTTAGCGATTTTGATGACAATGTAGGGTTTTTTTAGTTTGCCAAAAGCGTAACATGAATCTGAGCACAGAATTTCTAGAAATCTACGAAGACACCCATTTTATAATATAAAATAGCTCCCTTAACTTTTCTATGATTAGTTAACCATCCATTACTACGGTTCGGGGTCTATCAAATTATATCTACGGAATCACGCAGGGACAGGGACAGGGACAGGGTAAAGTGGACAGAGCACCAGAACTTCGTTCGTCAGTGACTTTTACAGGTGTTGCTCCGCCGCACTACTGTACCCCGCTGGGCTTTTAGTTGGCCCGCATCGGATGCTAGCCTACCAAGACATTTACATAGTAATTTTACATTAATATTAGACTTACGTATTGAATATACAATTACAAAGACACAGTATAGAATTATTACAAAGAGATTGACCTATTAACAAAAGTTGGATTATGGCAGATTAATATAACATAATTATTTCGAACATACATACAAACTTTCATTGTACATTGTACTTCATACAAACAATATATTTACATTAGTATATCTAGTTATATCGAATTACAATAAACATCTTTTTAAGAAACTAATTGGAAAATAATTTTTTTTTTTTGTTTTTTTGTGCATCTTATACTTAGTTGAATTACTAAGGCGAATTACTATCTTATTAATACATTTCCTTTCACGGAATCACGCAGTCAGACACTCACCAATAGGGAAAAGGATAATGTAGCTCAACGTTGGTAGTTCATTCATTCTGGATTAAAATTCCAACGAACGGCCAGCATGCTTAAGGATTTCATAGTTTTCCCAATGTGTAACGTAAATATACAGGATGGTTATAATTAAAGTTCTGCTTTGAAATGGTCATAAAGGAAAACTACTGGACCAAATATTTACAAACTTGGTAATATAGCAAACAAGGTCATGGGAATTTATTTTCCGCGGGAAAAATGTTCAAAAACTCACCAGCAGGGGGGAAATGTTTCTCTATGCAATATTGTTAAACGAAATAAGACGTGAAGACATCGGTTTAAAATGTGTTTAATAGTTTCTGAAACGTGTTACAAAGCATGTTCAATGCGTCGTTCACTATTTTCCGAAAGCAAGTTAAATCGTATTACTGCATTCTGAACGGCAGCTCTTAGTTCATCAGGAGGAAGGTTAGGGACATGTTGGTGTATTGCATCTTTTAATTACGCCAAATTGTTTAGATTATTTGCGTAAGTCATTTACTTCTTCCTTCCGTAAGCCAATTGCAAGCCATTGCGGTTTTGCCTCACGCCACAAACAGCTTCGTTTCAGAAACGATTAAAGACGTTTTATACCGAATCTTCATGTCCTAGGGGCGAATTCAGGCTTAAAAAAATCACGAATTAGAAATCTGTAAGAACATGATTTCTGGAATCCGTACACTTTTGCGATCTAAAATTTTCTAATCACTAATTTTTGGTTTTCACGGGCGAAGTTCTCTATTACACGGATAGCGCAGTCGACTTTTATTGCCTTTAAATGGTAATTGTGTTTAGGTTAATGCTTCTTAAGGGTATACAACATGTTAAACCAGTGTAAACAAAAGGTTAAGTTCCGACCCTTATTTCGTTTAACAATATTGCATTTAGCGCTATTACCCCACGGTGGTGAGTTTTTTAACTTTTTTTTTTCCTTTTCGCGAAAAATAAATTCCCGTGACCTCCTCTACACGATTATTAAGTCTGATAACCATTTGGTCCAGTAGTTTTCTTTTATGACCATTTGAAAGAGGAACTTTAATTATAACAATCCTGTATTTAAGTTTTCCTCTCAAAATTCTCCCTAAGGCCTCTAGTTCCTTAGGTAAATATAGTCCTTGCAAGATTTGCTTTTTTACGTATATACATGTTTGTTAAATATATAAAAGAAATATATATATAAAGAAAGAAATTTTTGAACCAATATTTCACAAAGACCAAAAATCGAAATTTATAAGCAGTAGATAACTATCCAAAAGAAGAATTTAACAAATGGTAAAACTAAAATTCTTCAAACAAGTAAAGCCAAAAAAAAAAAAAAAATCAAAAAAATTAATGAATAAAAAAGAATGTGAAAGAAGAAGAATTCAATCAACTTCAATGCGACGTCATCAGGGGAGGAAACAGTGAAACCATTTGAAATCGCTCTTTCATAAAAAATCCTTGCTTTTCTGTATCCAGAATTAGCTAATTCCAATGTATTTCAGTAATAATAGTTCACCCGAAAATTTTGGCCCCTCCCCAAAATGAAGGAAAATGGCAAAAATATAAAGTAAAATTATTAAAAATGTCTTCCAATATAAAAAGAGTTTTCTAATCTAAAAAGAAAATAAAAATTCTACAGTGAAAAATTCTTTGAAATTTCAAAATAATCATAGCACAAATCTTTGCCAGAACCTCTTATCAAACAAACTGAAAGGAAGGAAAATAGCAAAACTACAAAGTAAAATTATTAAACGATCTTTCAAATTAAAAAGATGTTACTAATCTAGAAAAAATATTAAACAAAAATGAAAATTTACCCTTAAAATCTAGAAAAAATTTAAATTCTAGAGTGCAAAAATTCTTTAAAATTTCATAATTAAATATATATAATATGCATTGAATGCGGTTTAGAAATTTTATGAATTTCACGTTCATGAATTATTGTAAAGATTAAATGTTTTCAATGGGGGGGGGCAAGCACTATGAACACCAACTGCGACATTCTTGCGGCAAAGAACGGATGATTCTAGATTAATTGATTTTTAGAATCCAACTGAAAACACCGAGAAGAAATTAAACCTAGCTTCAGAAAGTTATTTTAAAAACGACACTTTTAAATCTAACCTATCTCTCTTAAATAAGCTTGAGCATGTAGCAACCGACTTCTATCAACTGGCAAGCATTTATTTATAAAATTGTTAGCAGAGGCGTTTTATCTAAATTTGAAAAAGGAAATTACCAATTAGGCAAAAGATTGATGCTTCCGTTTTTAATTTCTTGAGACATGTGAAGCAATGTTTTAGAGTAATTAAATTTTCCTCTCTTGAAACATTTTCTTTTTATTTTTTTCCCCGAGCTATTATTTTAATTGATAGGTTCACTTCCTTAATTGTAGATGATAACCAGCTAATTTTCACTCCGGGCATTCAATCACGGATACGTTTCCGTTCAAATTTTCAAGAAATTTATTTAATTATTTTATATTCGTTGTGCGGCCTACATAGGTTCGTATTTTGTTATACGTATTTTAAACCCTACTTAGTAATAAGGAAACTTACTCTCAAGTGTGTATTTTCATGTCATAAGGCGCCATTTTTAAAATGTGTTTCCCAAATAACGCGTTTTGTTCTTCTGTATTCAAAGGATAATCACCTCTTGTTATATTATTTGGAAATTGTGTTTTGTATGCATATGTGAAAGCCACAATTTCAAGAATAATATCCAGTTTTGTCCCTTGGAGTGTTGTCTATTCTTGAAATTCCTCATTGTTTGGCTTCCCTGCTATGCTAATTTTCGTTATTTTAGTTGAAATGTTTCCAATCAGATCAGTTTAGAAATAAGCTTTGTGTTTAAAATTTGGAAAATGTGAATTGTTGGTGGACTAGTTGGTGAACGTTACAAAATGTGCGAGATCTGTTAGTCTAAGTGGAAGTATGTCGAAAATGAGAGATTTCTAAAAGAAAATTCGTAGTATTTAAATTATTTGTGGGGAAATTCCTATGCTGCGAGACCGTCCGCTGGGATATGAACCTGGGTCCAATTACATTGTTCAGTTGTCTTACATTCACTGAAGCACTGATGGGCGAAAAAAATAATTTAAGATGTTGATTTTTTTTAATTTCCAATTATTTATCTATCCGAGACCTGTGCTTGTTTTAAATAGAAATTAAAATGAAATGTAAGTGAGCAAGATAATAAATACATTTTGTATGTTAAATTGTGATTTCATGATAAATATTAATCAATATGATATACAAACACCGCTTTACATATTATTCCACTTCATTTATCATTTTTTGTCAATATTAAAAATGTCATAGTTTCATGGTTTTCTTGCCAAAAATAATTTTAATTCTACTTTTGAATAATTTTTCGTAATATATATTTTTTTGTTAAAGTTTATCTAATTCTCAAATTTAACTTGAAAACATAGCAAAATCTGATCTTTTCACGATAATTTACGCTATAACATTTGTTAGAAATTTATCCAAATTTCATTAGTCTGTCATTGACTAAGAAAAGGAATGATCAGTGCCTGCTGCCTCTGTGAGAAATGAGAGACCTTTAATTTACCTTCCAGCCTTTCTTCACACACACGTGGTTTTCAGTGTGCTTCTGTTCTGCAAAGTAGAAGATCTTTAACTTATATTTTAGCTTTAGTCAGGCTGCTACTGGTTAACAAATCAAGTGATTTAAAAGCAATAAATGTACTCCTGCACAATTAACAATGTTTTTAAAACTAACTGATAATTTTTAAGAACATTTGCAGTTTTGTTATGGTAATACAAGATATATCTTATACTGTATATTATGTTATTGGTACAAAATAATTTTTTAAAATTTTATTATGGTAATTTTAATAGTCATTTATTTATTTATTTATTTGAGATGTTATATCCTAATCCGA